TGGGCGTGAAGGGCGTGTGTGTGTGTATTCATGAGTGAAGGGCATATGTGTGTGTGTGTTCGTGGGAGTGATGGGCGTATGTGTGTGTTCATGGCAGTGAAGGGTATGTGTGTGTGTTCATGGGAGTGAGTTTGGGCTGCTAGAGGAGATAGGAGACTCCTTATGGGGGAAAAAAGCTCCTTTCTGTCTGGTCCTGCAAAAGAGGTGGGAAAAGGCAAATAGTGTGAGGCTGGTAACAGGTTCTCAGCCTTCAGCCTTTCCTATAACAAATACCTTGCAGTGAATCCTTTACTATGCTGAACTGAAATTCATAAATGATACAACCTACCTACACACATAACTTTTAAAAAGTCAACATGCTTCCCTATCTGTGCCATAAAGGGACAGTGAAAAACAATAATTTGTAATAAAAGAACATGAGCTGTATTTTACCGTGTGCGTGTTGAGCCCTGACTACGCCGGAGGTTGTAATGAGGGAGGCAGGTGCACGCAACTGTGCGGAGACTCACAGGTGTGGGACTCTGCAAGTGGGCAGACACAGGTGCTGAGTTAGTGACTCAGCACCTCCTGCATGCTGCCGTCAATGAAGCGATTTAAAAAAATCTTGAACTCTTGATAGCAAAGTCATTCTTCCCTAAATTCACACAGGACTGTATTGCATTCCTAGAAAGTTCACTGTATATTAATACCATTTTTTAAACAGTATTAATTTCTAGGCTCAGATAATTAAACACAGGTTTTCACCTACATGAAGGTCCTAGGGGACATTTGAGATTCTAGATGAGGGACAATTCATTGTGCAGGCTATGCCTGGAAGAATATCTTATTCCTCTGCCTTACTCATCAATGCCAACGAGGGTCCCCCCATCGCTGTAATTACGAAAGAAAAGCCCACAGCTTTTTTTAAACATTCCCTAGGGAATGGTTGAGCCCCACTGAGCTAGAAAGTGGAAAAAAGAGAAGAGACTGGGGCAGGATTTCTAACCACTCAAAGCAAGAGCCACCCCTCCGCTGAGTGGCTTGCTGTCCTCCCAGCAAGGCAGGACCAAAAAATGTGAGTGTCAAGGAAAATAATGTTCTTGACCCCAGGGTGAGAAATTTCCCAGACTGCTTTGAAAAGAAGAGTTTCCTGCCTGTGCCCAGTCTGCAGCTAGTTCAGCGGTCTGGCCAGAACACCGTCTCTCTGTGCTACTGTGTGGTCCTGGCTGCTGGCCCAGGGGACACCCTTCCCGACCCAGCATGGCCTCTCCATAGGGGAGGGTGTGCACAGACGCCCTCTCGGGAGCCTACAAGTGAGTTCTCGAGGTCCTTCTTTCATCCTCATTCTGGCAACTTGTCTCTGGCTTCCCCAAAGTCCTGACTGCTTTGAGGGGAGTGGAAGGGTGGATGCCCCCTGGAAGAGGAGTCTGTGATAATACGAAATTGGAAATTATTCTGGTGATCTTTATTGTCACAGTGCTGGTGCTAAACCAGGAAAGGAAACCACCATCCCGTCCAAATCACAGGGTATTGGTTTCGCACATCGGAATGTATCCATTCAATGGAATAGCTATGAAAACACATTTTAAAAAAGAAACTAATGACATTAACACGGGAAAATAGGAGAGTTTGAGGGGGAAAAAGCAGAATACAAAATCTGTACAACTATGGTATATATATGTTTAAAGCTAGAAGAAAATGCATCAGAATGTTAACAGTAATTGCCTCTGGGACCATGAATCAATGGCCTCCTTTGTGGTGTTGTTATTCAATTTTTGCTCAAATGTTTTACAAGTGTTACCTTTATAATCATTTAAGTGTTCTTTTCAACTGTCCTAAGCACTTTGAAACTGTTCACCTTTTTCCACCAATAGCTGCAATTTCCTCCTTTCACACTGTTTCATCTTCAGATGTCCCTTCCCAGATCCCGGCCCACTTTCCTCAGGACCCTTGCTGAAGTCTTCCCCATCAGTACCCCAACCCCACCCTCCCACAGCCAGTCCACTCCTTGCCTTCCACACCGAGCACCAAACTCCTCTCCTCTGGGAAGGACCCACTCAATCCCGTCCCCTAGTCCTTGTGCCTTTGGTGACACTGAAAAGGATACTTTTCAGAGATGGTAGCATTCCTGCTCAGAGTACCTGAGAACGGGACCAGTCTTCCTGTTCATTTTATTTCCCATCCTTCCTCTTCCTTTCCTGTCTTTTGCCTCATCTTCTGCCCGTAGAGTATAGAGCCCAGAACTTAACACCCCACAAGCCCTGGTAATACATTAACCAAAGTAGCCAAATTAACGATGGTCCGCTGGGTGCTAAGTGCCTTCAGAGGGCATCTAACATAATTCTTGCCCAGCCATGCAAAGTACATATAATGGCCTGAGTTTGGAGACCAGTCAACTGCGATTTGGGGAAAATAAGTACAAATCAGAGGTCACCCAGCTATGAGATTGACAGAGCCAATATTTGAACTCAAGCCTCTTGGTCCGTTTCCAAATTCTTAACCCTAACCTTCCTCTGGCCCAACTTCCACGCCGAGGCACCCTTGTCGGAGGTCAAGGAGCATCTCAGTTTCCTATCCAAATTAGTGGGGAGTGGTCTGTGTGTGAAGGGGGGTATTCAGGTGAAAGTCGTGTCTACAAGGACGGTCGTCTGTCCTACGCAGCTCCTGCAATTTTGAAAACGGTATGGGACAAAGGCTTAAAATTCCAACATGAAGTTATTTACAAGCCAAGCCTCACCTTGGCTTTTTCGTGAGGGCTGGAACCCTTTCTGCCATTCTGCAGCACCACCAAGACGTCCCCGTTGGTCTGCGAGTGCTCCCCCTTCCCCGTGTAATGGGATGGGCTCACTGCACTACCCCTGGCCAGGAGAGGATCAGCGGTAAGGGAAACCTTTCTTTAACAGATGCCCTCAACTGCTCCCCATGCCCAGTTCTAGTCCAGTTGTGCGTTCTTGACTGGGCAGGCCGTGGGGCTTTGTGCCAGGAAAAGGAAACAGCAAAGTTACAAAGTTATTTCCAGTATGCCTTCCCAGGCATGTACAAGGAAACCCAGAGTGCAGTTCAGAAACTTCAGTGAGATACAAAAGCCCCTTTGCAGTTCCTGCTCTGAAGCCCCCTCCCCTCCCACAAGATGCTCAGGGTCTCGGGGACTCACAAGTGCTCAGGGTCAATCGCCAGATTACAAGGTTGACACTGTTGCTTCTGTAAATAACTTCTCCGTAAGGGAGGCCTTCTGTAATAAATAAATGAACACAATGTCATGAAATGCTAGGCTAACCTAAACAACAGAAAGGAAAATAGTTAGCTTGTTTGTCCCTCCTTCTTAAGGGTATGTGGGGCCAGGTTAACAGATTTAGAAAAGATCCAGTTCTCACAGACAAATGCAGTGAGTATTTCTATTCCTGGAACTACAAGAGGATCGGATTTTTAAGGTTTCAAAACAAAACAAGTATTATGTTTAGTTAAATATATGTAATTAAGTATACACCAGGTATGAATGTTCATACCAACCCAAAAAGTATGTATCGTAATGCATGTATGCATTTGGGCATCGGGTTGGTAGAGTTTTTGTTTGTTCATTTTGCTGTAACAGATTTCTCTCATTATGTCCAGTTCAGGAACCGATAATGTTTGTTCATTTATTCAGAGCACACCAGCACACCATCCAAATACTCAGAGAAAAAAGACACATCACCGCATTTTTTTATTTTTATTTTTTTTAAGATTTTATTTATTTATTTGAGAGAGAGAATGAGAGACAGAGAGCATGAGAGGGAAGAGGGTCAGAGGGAGAAGCAGACTCTCTGCTGAGCAGGGAGCCCGATG